TATATATATATATATATATATATATATATATATATATATATATATATATATACATATATATATATATATATATATATATATATATATATATATTACAGGGTCCTGTTGTGTTTGTCATATTATTTTTCACGACGTCCCGCCCAACTAGCTAGTAGTGCTCAGACCGCACATTGGAGGTGTACTTTCGAGCTCTGCAGTTTTCATATATTTAAGTGAGCCTGACGCTGGTATTTCACTATGGATCATAATAACTATAAGCACTTTAGTATAGAAGACTCTAAACTTAAGTGGAAGGGTGACCTTGAACCGCTTAAGTGTTTTATCGCGAACGAATTGGAATTAAATCTATCTGGAAAATGGTCTTCCCCTGGCGGCGAGGTGAAACAGTTTACTAACGAGAATCACGGAAGTCTCCAGTGAGGGTCAGATTGTCAAAATTAAAGGGTACCAGACTACCAGAGTAAGAAAACTTTGTTGTTTGAAGGATCTAGAGCTAAACAGATGGCACAGGATATCTACAGTATAAAACAATCAAACTCAAGTTTCAAGGAGGGAGAAACGCGCAACGGGTTTGATACTTCAAATTTCCATAATAACGATAAATTTGTTGAAGCGATTACCATTCAAATTCAACAGCTTAAGGTTGTTATGGAACAAAACAAAACTGCCATAGCTAACCTTGAAACCGTATGTCAATCCTCATCGAATGATACTGCATATCTTGAACTACACACACTTAGAAAAGAATACAAAGTTATTTGCTCTGAAAATGCAATTCTTAAGAAAGAAAACGCCGAATTCCTTGAACGCATGAACAACTTAGTCTATATTACCTCTGATTTAAATACAAAAATTAAAATACTTGAAGAGGAGAAGGCCAGCTCAGTATCCTCAGTGCGCCTCGTAAACGAGGACAAACGGCAATTAATAATGGAAGCTAAGCGTTTAGGAAATGTTTACAACTTGGAACCGTCCTCTGAAGTCTCAAACCAAGCAACGCATAGCGAAAGCACACAAAATGAAAACCCCATTCAAAATGAGCAACATAATAAAACAATAGAATTGGTCGAATTGGATAAAACATTCCAAGAACCGAATGGTCCGAATACAAGAAATAAAAATATGAACCCCGTTGTAGGGGTGGCTGTGTCTGACCATCCCGACAGAAGCAGCAAGAAGTTCCGGATCATATCTCACCAAAACTGCGAGAACTGAATTGGCTTCCATGCAGTTAAGGAACACTTACTTTTTAGAGATATAGTTTTTATGTACAAGTTTATTAACAATCTGGCCCCACCTTACTTGTGCAATAAATTTAGTAAACGATCAAATATACATGAATGTAACACTCGTAACCAAGAGCTCCTCCAAATACCGATTTATAATACCACCACTGGCCAGAGAACATTTCATTATAGAGGGGTGAAACTATGGAATGATCTGGACAATAACACGAAACAAATGCCATCTTTGAGAAGTTTTAAGAATAAATTAAAGAAAGACATGTTAGACAGACTGTATTCTTAGTAATGGCCGGGACTATTTTAATAATAGAAGATTTTTCCTAGTAAATTTTTAAATATGAAATCTTAACCTTGTTTTTTAATCACCATTCCATGCAAATCAGTGTTGAAAAGCCTCTTTGAGGAACACAATAAAGTATGTATGTATGTATGTAACTAGTACAGATAAACAGCCTAATTCCGAATGTGCGTCTCAAAATCCTAAGAGTGTTGTCCCATGTCCATTCCTTCTCTGCCGTGGCCGTTGCACTAAAGGAGTCAATTGTGACTTCTCCCATTTGAATCTGGAATGTATACTCTAAAAACATCCTGGTTAAAAAATCCTGGTCAAAGTTTTTTGACCCCATATGGGTCAATGAAATTTCAATCAACCAGGATTCTGGTCAATTTCCTGGTCTTTTTTTACGAAAAATCGCATGACCAGAGTTCCTGGTCAAGCGAAAAAACAAAATGGCGGCAAGCAAATCTCGTTTAAATGAAAAGTTAAATGCCATGTATTTTGGTTTCAATGCGCTGCAAAACAAAGGAGAAGAAAAAGGGGGAACAAGATAACTGAGTGAGGAACTTATTTAGTTTCACAAAAAAGGCTATCGCAATACCGGATAAACGAAAATTGCATTTCAATAAGTGCGAAGAGTGGTGCATCGAAACAACAACAGAAGTTAAGAGATCGACAAGTTACCCGAATTAAATCCCAAACGATAGTGTTTGACTCAGGTTTAATTTTTTTATATAAATTCGCATTAAACCAGTTTACTAACTACCACGAATATTGTATATTGCAAGTTATGCATGTTTACAGAATAACGAAGCGAAAATATATATGTCAGTATATGAACTATGACATATTGACAGTATCGACGTGCTAAAATTGGTTTTAAAAATACACACAAATGAGAAAACGATCTAAATGTTCCTGAATGGCCGATTGTGCTAAATCTGTTGCCAAGTAGGAAAGCGACAGATTTTTTAAATGTACTTTAATAGTTTATTTTTTTAGACCTGAATGCATATAAAATGTAATACTGAAGGAGTGAAGCTATATTTATTTATATAAACTTCAGTGTTTAGATTGGAGTGGGCGAAAACAAATTCAATGTAAGAAATTCCCACTCAAAGTGCATGTCCATAAAAATTATTTTGGGGAGTGGGGGGGGGCTAAAGTGGCTTTCGTTTTAATTAGTAAATCCCCTTGGGGACTAAAGTGGCTTTAGCTTTAGTAAAGCCCCCTTGCCTGTGGTCCCCCACGCTGGTTTTTGCATCCCATCTTTAAAGGGATATTTATTATACAAGATCAAGGCAGGCAAATTACTCGACTCTAGTGCACAATATTGCTTGTTTTTCAAGGGAAGTTGAGTTAAGTAACCTCCCATGTTACACTCATGAATATGTGGAATAATACTTGTCCTACACCTTACCCAGCCTATTTGTAAGCGTAACATGGGAAGTTAACAGGAAGTTGCCTGCTGCCCCCACCTTCTGCACCTATGGACCAGACTTGTAAGTGCAATTTTGTGCTTAACCCATTAAGCGCCAGCGCTCTCCCCTTGACAAGTAAAATCATCTGGCGTTAGACAGAGTAAAATGCTAAAGTAGGGCCATGTGCCCCTCAATTAGCTGCATGGAAACTTGTAGCCCGCCCTTAAGTGGCCCCTACAGTTATTTCTCTATGGCTTTGCTACCTTATGTATTGTTTAACAATTCTTTATTTATTCAAATTCCCAATCAAAGTATTCAACAACATTGCCCAATCAAGGCACACAACAACATTGCCCATAAAAATGATTGGGGGGAGGGACTAAAGTGGCTTTAAATAGCTTGAGTAAAAAGCCTCCTTGCCTGTGGTCCGGCCCAGCTGGTTTTGCATAAAGCATCTTTAAAGGGATATTTGTTATACAAAATCAAGGCAGGCAAATTACTTGACTCTAGTGTACAATATTGTCTGGTTTTTAAGGAAATTGAGTTAATTAACCTCGCATGTTACACTCATGAACATGTGGGGTTAAGCGGCATACCTGTAGATAGGGTACTACTAGGAATAACACAACCTACTCCTGGTCCCCTACCCTCACCCTGCATACACTTACTTTGTAATTAAATGGAACTTGCCTGCCGCCCCCACCTGCCATGGGTGTACGGGAAGGAAAAAATTAGGGGGGGGGAAGAAATTTGCCCGACATTTTCGGATTGTGCCTGAGTTGTCAAAAACATTTTCCGGAGAAACTTTCCTAAATTGGTGTTGGAGGGGGGGGGGAGGAGTGATTCTGAAAAATTCCTATTAGATAGCATATTTCCCACAAAATTGACAGAATTTGTCCCATTTATTTTTATAATAAGCCAATATTGCCTGACTCACTGAAGCGAATATTGCCTGACTAGCTTTGTTTGCCCAACAAACTGGGGTTTGCTATACCCCCCCCCCCCCTTAGTACACCCATGCCACCTGCTACACCTATGGAGCAGACTTGTGGGTGCAATTTATGCTTAATATGCTTAAATTGCATTGGTTCATTTAGGCAAATCAACATCTTATCTAGTTAGCATCTGCTTTTCTGGAGCCCACAACTCAATAGTTGCATGGAAATTTGTAGCCTGCTACCTTAAGAATAGATTCATTTCATTTTCACTATATTACATTTTTATTTGGTGTACTACCACATTCAAGAATGGTCAAAACTCAAAAGAACTTCCAATCGAGTCACTCCCCTAACTTAAAGTGGCAAAGCTGAAAGCTATACAAAAATTACTGTAGGGGCCCTTTAATTTTAAATTAATTGTTGCTGAAAAATCATTGCCCACCTTTTCAGAAAAGTGAGTGGTATCAGCATTCCATTTCCCTGCTGCCGGATAGATTTGTTCTACATTTAAGATTAAAATACATGTGCATGTTAACAGAGGGGCAAAATTAGTCCTTTTCCCTTGGATGGTCAGGTGTAGACTATCTAGAATTGCCCTTCTAAAAATCCTAAAATGGGCATTGCCATGTATGTAGAACACTTTGAGGAAGTGTTAGTTAATTGTTAGCTTTGTATTTGAAGTCAGTTTCCATAGTATGCATATATATAGTGTACTTTTGAGAGAAAACTATACATACAATTTGATTAAATTTGTGACTTTACTTCATAGTCAGCTCCAACATGCTGAGTGAGAATATTTTGAGTATTTAGAGTTTCTAGATTGGCATTTAATGTATTTATATCCACTTGTATTAAGTTATAAATTAAACATGCACTGCGCATCTAATATCGGCATCTTTTCACCTGACCCTTTGCACTATTTACTGACCCAGCCCCTACAACCATGCCCCTATCTATGTGCACTCTTGTCCCCTAATTTTCCCCAGCCGACTACCCTTTTTCTTTATGACCAGCCCCAAAGGACTGGGGAGTCCCTAAGGGACTGGGGGGTACTATGAAAATTGAAACTTCAAAAGGCTAATTTTAGGTGGACATGCATGCCCCCCGATTCTGTGCACAGATACACTTGACCCCCACTGCGAATCATATAATGACACACACCTACTATAATCGACTGCTTGTTCTACGTTATATATTTGAAAACTAACCGCCACAATTTTGCATTATTGAATATTTTATGGGTTACAAGGCAGTGTTCTTTGCTGAAGCTAGCACGTTTAACTCCGGCAGGGGCATATGAAGTTTGTTAAACTATGGAGCTAGAGTCTATGTGCAGTGCATTATTTTTCCTGCATCTTGTTTCGACATGTTGAAAAATAGTGCCCACCCCAAAGTTTTCACAGCCCCCCCCCCCTACTTTACGATCGGTCCTAAAGATAAGCATTTCATATCAATAAATAACCGAATGGGTACTAGGCTCTCACTACTACTGAACAAGTCTTCGTAGAATTTCGACGTTTCGAGCAATGGCCTGAATGACCTAGTCTGGATGAATGGCCTTTGGCTTTGCTGTAGAAACATCCTAATTCTCCTTAGGCCTATATATTTACAGGTAGTTAAACCCCTACAAACAAAAGCTTGTTCATCTGATTGGCACTACCTACACTGGCAAAGACAGTTCTCGCTACTACTACATACACATGTATTCAGTGGTAGTAGATATATTTGCTACATCTGCATTGATATATTTAATAATACATATATATGCCTTATATGTATGGTATTGCTAAAATTCCTTGATCAATCTATATTATATAAATTCACGTATTAATTCGTAAAAACGTTACCTAATTACTTAAAAGTCATACACTTGTAGAACTTACCGATTTCACCGACTTCTAATCTCTGAGAACATTTACTGACACAAGATACAAATTATAATACAATATTTTGTTTTGAAAATATGTTGCCACCACAAAACGTGGGTGTGTTTAAAAATTACACTTCCGTTTGCACCATTTCCGCTTTGATTTCAAAATGAATTAAATTAAGCGCGAAAGGCTGCTAGCAAAAAATCATTAAATTTTTAGCAATTCGCAGCAA